GTGTTTACATTCCACAGAAATCAGATTGTCATGTGGTTCCAGTTTCCAACAATGTACAGCTAAGAGAATGGACGTATTTTATTCTGCTCCTGTAAATAGTGTAAATTGCAATATTTCGCACTTTACCCGGATTGCACAAGCCTAGCCCAGACATCCCATGGTTCAATGAAATATATGAAATCAAGTCCAGTCAAACTGCTATAATCCTAGATGGATGGATTGATAGATTTTCCAATGACACCTGAATATTACCTTTTTGGAATATATGACTCGGAGTTATTTAAAGATCTAAATGTTGATAAATTGTTCACTTTTTTTGTGTGACTATGGCGAGAATGACTTTTGCTAAGTTTTGGAAAATTGAGTTAATTGTTGCAACTCAGAGTAAGCTTTGCCTTGCTTCCAAACACCACCACACAAGATCTGTAGTTTTATAGTTTATTGAGGAAAAAGTCCAAGTCAAAATAAAGAATAAGCATTGCAAAGTTCCAAAGATTTAGGTTAAATGCAGAATATAGTTCCAAAGATCTTCAGGTAAAAACAAGAGGCACAATCCTATAGGCAAAGTTCAAAACAGCAGTGAAACAATTACCCAAGAATCACAATGCAAGAAATCCCAAGCGTGCTGCTTTCCAGCTAAGGTTATTCCATGAAGCTTTCAGGCTAACAAGCTACGTTGAACTGACACTTTCTCTTCGTTTGCAAGCAGCCTAAATGCCTTTCTGACATGAAAACATTTTTTTTGGGAGCCCCCGGTGGCGCAGTGGGTTAAAGCACTGTGCCGGCAGGACTGAAGACCGACAGGTCGCAGGTTCGAATCTGGGGAGAGGCGGATGAGCTCCCTCTATTAGCTCCAGCTCCTCATGTGGGGACATGAGAGAAGCCTCCCACAAGGATGATAAAAACATCAAAAATCATCCAGGCGTCCCCTGGGCAACGTCCTTGCAGACGGCCAATTCTCTCACAACAGGAGCGGTTGCTCCTGACACGACAAAAAAAAAATTGAAAACATTATGCTCTCACCAACATGAAAGCATTGCGATGACCTTTCCCCGAGCTGGCTTCTCGTCTGCTGGCTAGGTGAGAACTCCTCCTGACCCGTGGCTGGACAAAATAATGGAAATTAAGGACATGGATAAACTGACATTTCTACTAAAATCAAGCAATGGAAAAGGAATAAAAATGACAGATTGGACGGTTTTTGAGGACTATATTAACAAGGATGGTAAATAAGAGGATTTTTGCCAAAGACTGAGGAAAAACTTTTTTTTTTATTGGACCATGTAAGAAACCTTTTCTTTATTAGTGGGGTGAAAGGAGGAAGAATGAAAGTCAACCTTTTTTAGTGTATTTTTGTATTTTCCCCCCTCTTTTTTTCTATTTCTCTCTTCCCTTTTCTTTCTCTCTGGCACTGAGTCTATTCAGTATGTGTATTGTGTTGCATTGTGGTTTTATGCTATTTTTTGGTAAAATGAATAAAAATTACTTTTTAAACACTGCTATAATCCTTGTATTGTCGAAGGCTTTCATGGCCGGAATCACTGGGTTGTTGTAGGTTTTTTCGGGCTATATGGCCATGGTCTAGAAGCATTCTCTCCTGACGTTTCGCCTGCATCTAATGCAGGCGAAACGTCTGGAGAGAATGCCTCTAGACCATGGCCATATAGCCCGAAAAAACCTACAACAACCCTGCTATAATCCTGCCATGTCATTGGCTTCTGACCCACCGTCAATGACTTTCTGTGTTCCTTGCAGACTTACTCCGGCTTGTTCTGTGTCACTATCAACCCTTACAAGTGGCTTCCCATCTACGGGGCCCGCGTGGCCAACATGTACAAGGGCAGGAAACGCACGGAGGTGCCCCCTCACCTGTTCTCCATCTCTGACAACGCCTACCATGACATGCTCATGGGTGAGTAGACCTACGCCTCCTCCATTGTCATTGGGAAATGCATATCTATTTGCATGCATGTTTGTGTATGTCTGGGTATCATACTCCTTTTATTTTTCATTCTCAGGTGCACTTTATTTACTTATTTAACTAAAATAAATTAAAGCCCTTGATTAAAAAATAATGTATAATCGCACAAAGGACTACCGTCTCACCCGGCTCATAGGAACCTGCTACAAAACAGGAGCTTTTTTGTTGAGTTCTAGGGCCAGAAAAGCAGATGGCGGAAACAGAAGGACGGCCTGCCTCAGGGGAGCGTGCTCGCTCCATCCATGTTCAACATCTACACAAATGACCAGCCACTGCCAGAAGGGACAGAGAGTTTCATCTATGCTGATGATCGTGCCATCACCGCTCAAGCAGGGAGCTTTGAGATGGTTGAACAGAAGCTCTCCGAAGCTCTAGGTCAGTGGTTCTCAACCTGGGGTCCCCAGATGTTTTTGGCCTACAATTCCCAGAAATCCTAACAGCTGGTAAACTGGCTGGGATTTCTGGGAGTTGTAGGCCAAAAACATCTGGGGACCCAAGGTTGAGAACCACTGCTCTAGGTGCTCTTACTGCCTATTACAGGGAAAACCACCTGATCCCCAACCCATCCAAAACACAGACATGTGCCTTTCGTCTTAAGAACAGACAAGCATCCTGAGCTCTGAGGATTATTACCTGGGAAGGAATCCCACTGGAGCATTGCAGCGCACCCAGATACCTAGGAGTCACTCTGGACTGTGTTCTGACCTACAAGAAGCACTGCCTGAATATCAAGCAAAAAGTGGGTGCTAGAAACAACATCATACAAAAGCTGACTGGCACAACCTGGGGATCACAACCAGACACAGTGAAGACATCTGCCCTTGCGCTATGCTACTCTGCTGCTGAGCATGCATGCCCAGTGTGGAACACATCTCACCACACTAAAACAGTGGATGTGGCTCTTAATGAGACATGTTGCATTATCACGGGGTGTCTGCACCCTACATCACTGGAGAAATTACACTGCTTAGCCGGTATTGCACCACCTGAAATCTGCCGGGAAGTAGCAGCCAATAGTGAAAGGACCAAGGCAGAGACATCTCCAGCTCATCTCTTGTTTGGGTATTAGCTAGCACGTCAACGACTTAAATCAAGACATAGTTTTCTTAGATCTACAGAGACACTCACTGGAACATCTCAGCAAGCGAGAGTCCAAAAGTGGCAGGCCCAAACCCAACACCTCAATTCATGGGTGATACCAGATGAGAGACTCCCCCCTGGGCTCACAGAGGACTGGGCGACTTGGAAGGCACTGAACAGACTGCGCTCTGGCACCACGCGATGCAGAGCCAACCTCAAGAAATGGGGCCACCAAGTGGAGTCCACGACATGTGAGTGTGGAGAAGACCAAACCACAGACCACCTGCTGCAATGCACCCTGAGCCCTGCCACATGCACAATGGAGGACCTTCTTGCGGGAACACCAGAGGCACGCCAAGTGGCCAGATACTGCTCAAAGGACATTTAATCAACTACCAAGCTTGCAGATTTTGTGTTTTTTATCTGTTTGTTTGTTTTGTTCTGTTAGAAATGTAATACAATGTTCTGGATGCCCCTGGCACGATAAATAAATTAAATATGGAGTTAAATTACAAGATGGGAGCAGAGGGAGTCGAGTGATCTTGTGTTGACCTCCTACCTTTTCTCTTCTTCTTCTTCCCAACACAGAACGTGAAAACCAGTCTATGCTGATTACGTAAGTGTTTTCGTTTGTTATCTTACTCATTACCCCTTCTGTAAGACATTTCGGCCAATGTTATGGTTGTGATGCATTTCTCCGTCTCCCCTTCCTCTTGTCTAGCGGAGAATCCGGAGCCGGCAAGACTGAAAACACCAAAAAGGTCATCCAGTACTTTGCGAACATCGGCAGCACGGGCAAAGCCTCTACCGATGGGAAGGTAAGGCGGATCGTGGACTGGGTGGAATGGGAATCAACTAAAACTGGGATCCCCAGAAGAGATAAGACTCATGTGTCGTCAAAGGCTTTCATGGCCGGAATCACTGGGTTGAGGTGAGTTTTCTGGGATGTCTGGCCATGCTCTAGCAGCATTCTCTCCTGACGTTTCACCTGCATCTGTAGCTGGCATCTTCAGAGATCTGTTAAAGGTGAGGCAAGTAGGGTGTGTGTCTATAGATCTGTGGACATATATCCCTGGGAGAAATAACCCTTGTCTGTTTGAAGTGTGAGTGTTGCAGTTAGCAAGCTTGAATAGCACTGAGCAGCCATGAAGCTGCAAAGTCAATCAGTGAGGGTATCTACATAGAGGTAGCAAGTGGAGAGCATATATACCTGTGGAGAAAGAACCCTTGTCTGATTGAGGCAAGTGTGAATGTTGCAATTTGCAAACTTGAGTAGTATTGAGCGGCCATGAAGCTGCAAAGTAAATCAGTGAGGGTATCTACATAGAGGTAGCAAGTGGAGTGCATATATACCTGTGAAATAATGTCCAAAGTGGGAGGAAGAGCCCTTGTCTGTTTGAAACAAGTGTGGATGTTGCAGTTAGCAAACTTGAATAGCACTGAATAGCTATGAAGCTGCAAAGTCAATCAGTGAGGGTATCTACATAGAGGTAGCAAGCGGAGAGCATATATACCTGTGAAGAAAGAACCCTTGTCTGATTGAAGTGAGTGTGAATGTTAAAATTTGCAATCTTGAGTAGCATTGAGTGGCCATGAAGCTTCAACGTCAATCAGTGAGGGTCTCTGCGTAGAGGTAGCAAGTGGAGTGCATATTTACCTGTGGAATAATGTCCAGAGTGGGAGGAAGACCCCTTGTCTGTTTGAAGAAAGTGTGGATGTTGCAGTTAGCAAACTTGAATAGCACTGAATAGCCGTGAAGCTACAAAGTCAATCAGTGAGGGTATCTACAAAGAGGTAGCCTGGCCTCTGTTGCCTGGAGGCACCCTCTGTGGAATGATGTCCAGGGTGGGAGAAAGAACCATTGTCTGATTGAAGCTGCAAGGCTACTCAATGCTATTCAAGCTTGCTAATTGCAACTTTCATACTTGCTTCAAACAGACAAGAGTTCTTTCTCTCACTCTGGACATCATTCCACAAGGGGAGATAGTCACACACAGATACACACATACCCTCACTGATTGGCTTTGCAGCTGCAAGGCTACTCAATACTATTCAAGCTTGCTAATTGCAACCTTCACACTTGCTTCAAACAGACAAGAATTCTTTCTCTCACTCTGGACATCATTCCACAAGGGGAGATAGTCACACACATACAGAGAGAGATACATACATACCCTCACTGATTGACTTTGCAGCTGCAAGGCTACTCAATGCTAATTCAAGCTTGCTAATTGCAACATTCACACACACACASAGAGAGAGATACACACACATACCCTCACTGATTGGCTTTGCAGCTGCAAGGCTACTCAATGCTATTCAAGCTTGCTAATTGCAACATTCACACTTGCTTCAAACAGACAYGGAGTTCTTTCTCCCACCCTGGACATCATTCCACAASGGGAGATAGTCACACACACAGAGATATATACACACATACCCTCACTGATTGGCTTTGCAGCTGCAAGGCTACTCAATGCTATTCAAGCTTGCTAATTGCAACATTCACACTTGCTTCAAATAGACAAGAGTTCTTTCTTTCACTCTGGACATCATTCCACAAGGGGAGATAGTCACACASAGAGAGAGAGACACACACACACATACCCTCACTGATTGGCTTTGCAGCTGCAAGGCTACTCAATGCTATTCAAGCTTGCTGATTGCAACCTTCACACTTGCTATCTCCCACCCTGGACATCATTCCACAGGTATATACGCACCCCACTTGGCCTCACTAGCAACAGAACCTCTGAAAATGGCATTAGCCACAGATTCAGGTGAAACATCAGGAGAGAATGCTACTGGAACATGGCCATCCAGCCCGGAAAACTCACAGCAACCCAGATAAGACTCTTGTTATTGTCGAGATGGGAAATTTCTGAATAAACGTTTGTTCACTGATGGGTCTATGGACCGTAATAAATATTGTTGTTGTTGTTGATGTTGTTTTTGTTGTTGTTTGTTGATTAGGGCTCCCTGGAGGATCAAATCATCCAGGCCAACCCTGTGCTGGAAGCGTTTGGGAATGCCAAAACAACCAGGAACAACAATTCCTCTCGTTTTGTAAGTACCCAGCACTGAAATTATGGTGCATTTGAATCTGTTCAGTAAATTTATTTTATTTTTTAGTTATCCTATCAGGAGCAAACCAAGGGTATAGTTGTGATGTATTTAAGAAAAAGAAAAACACAGAATTTAAAAACTTGGCCATAGAATGAGTTTCTGGGTTTTAGCCTGCCACTTTTGGACTCTCGCTTGCTGAGGTGTGAATATCTCTGTAGGTCTCAGGAAACTGGTTCTTCATTTAAGGCATTGGCATGCTGGCTGATATCCGAAAAGAGGATGGGACGGAGATGTCACTGCTTTGGTCCTTTCATTACTGGTTGCTACTTCCTGGAGGATGTCAGGTGGTGCAATACCAGCTAAACAGTATAATTTATCCAATAGCGAGGGACGTAGGCATCCTGTGATAATTCGGCTTGTCTCATTAAGAGCCACATCCACTGTTTTAGCGTGGTGAGATGTGTTCCACACTGGGCACGCATACTCAGCAGCAGAGTAGCAAAGCACAAGGGCAGGTGTCTTAATTATGTCTGGTTGTGATCCCTAGGTTGTGCCAGTCAGCTTTCGTATGATATTGTTTCTAGAGCCCACTTTTAGCTTGATATTCAGTAAATATTCCAGGGAAGTCATGCTCCCCATGCTCTATTCTGCCTTGTTTCGACCACACCCACAATTGAAGGGTGGTTCGACCACACCCACAATTGACTCTAAGCTGGAATGTGTCCAGAGGAGGGTGACTCAAAGGATCAAGGGTCTGGAGAACAAGCCCTATGAGGAACAGCTTAAAGAGCTGGGCGTGTTTGGCCTGAAGAAGAGAAGGACGAGAGGAGACATGATGATAGCCATGTATAAATATATGAGGGGAAGTCATAGGGAGGAGAGAGCAAGCTTGTTTTCTGTTGCTCTGGAGCAGTGGTTCTCAACCTGGGGTCCCCAGATGTTTTTGGCCTACAACTCCCAGAAATCCCAACCAGTTTACCAGCTGTTAGGATTTCTGGGAGTTGAAGGCCAAAAACATCTGGGGACCCCAGGTTGAGAACCACTGCTCTGGAGACTAGGATGCGGAACAATGGCTTCAAACTATTCTTCTTTGGTGATTTCTCCCTTTTTCCACTTCTTGTGCATGTCTCTTTTTTAGTCTTAGCACAGTTAGATTTCTAAGGGATCTACGTCTTCAGTAAAGTATTATAATACCTGTGTGAATTTCCCACTGACATGCCCATCTCATCCAAAGGGATCATTCAGTTCTTATTTTGTCTGCTTTCAAAATATTGCAACCATGAGACTGGTGCGAACATCTTGCGGTCTTGATCCGAGGGGATTATTTCTCTTCCTTTTGCTTCCAGGGTAAATTCATCAGAATTCATTTCGGCAGCACAGGAAAACTGGCTGGAGCTGACATTGAGAGCTGTAAGTATCCCAGTTGAGTCAACTTCCCCATCGACCGGATGCGACCACACTGTGCAATTATGGCTGGTTGATATCGCTTTAATTGCTATACGTCCATCCTGTGGCATCTTAGAACTTGTAGTTTGGGGAGGCACTAAGGACCCTTCTACACTGCCATATACTCTGGATAATCCACATGATCTGCTTTGAACTGGATTATATGAGTCTACAATGTAGGATTTTGTACAGCTGTGTGGAAGGGCCCTCGGACTCTTTCCATGTCAGAGTGAAAATCGGGGGGCTATGCACAGCAGATGAGGTTACTAGATCACACAGACACAAATCAGGACACTGCAGTCTTCCAGTTTCAAAAATAACATAAAGTTTACTAAGTACATCTCAATACACGTCTACTTCTAAGCGGGCAAAATCAGGAACTACAAAGCACAGCATCAGTACAGTTTCAGAACATCTGCTTATCAGGCTCTCTGACTGTAAGCCGGATACTCCCTATTTCTTCCCAGCCAGAGAAACTCATTATCAAACTTCTGTCAAGGTCTCTTCTCTCTTTCTCTCTGTCTCTTACAACAACAATACCAATACATAATTGAACATAACAGAATCCATCTTGAATACGTATGGACACCATTCTTAATCATATAGAAACACATTGAAAAAACATACTTTCAATAATCCTGACACTCATGGGATTTGAAATTGTGTTCGGAGGAAAGCTTTGCAAAGCCCAAATGCTCTCCCCGACTTTGGGGTATTGTCTTGTGTTTTATGGAAATCTTTTGCGTTGCAGATCTCTTAGAGAAGTCTCGGGTCATTTCCCAGCAACCGGCCGAAAGAGGCTATCACATCTTCTACCAGCTCCTCTCCAACAAGAAGCCCGAACTTGTCGGTACGATCTGTTTATCTTAAGCGGCTGAGGGGGGAAAGGAAATGGCCTGAGATTGTTAGGAATGGTGGGAGTTGAAGTCCAAAACACCTGGAGGGCCCAAGTTGGCCCATGCTTGGTGTAGACGTATTATGAGTGAGGAAGGTTCAAGGGCAATTAAAGCATCCCGGACAGATGTTAGCTCTCACTTTCTAGGGCTTAAGCGGCTGATTGGGAAAAGGAAGGGGCCTGAGGCGGTTAGGAATTGTGGGAGTTGAAGTCCAAAATACATGAAGGGCCCATGCTTGGTGTAGACATAATATGAGGAAGGTTCAAGGCCAATTAAAGCATCCCGGACAGATGTTAGCTCTCACTTTCTAGGGCTTAAGCGGCTGAGTGGGAAAAGGAAAGGACCTGAGGCTGTTAGGAATGGTGGGAGTTGAAGTCCAAAACACCCAGAGGGTTCAAGTATTCCCATGCTTGGTGTACACATACTATGAGTGAGGGTTCAAGGCCAATTAAAGCATCCCGGACAGATGTTAGCTCTCACTTTCTAGGGCTTAAATGGCTGAGGGGGGAAAGGAAGGGGCCTGAGGCTGTTAGGAATGGTGGGAGTTGAAGTCCAAAACACATGAGGGGCCAAAGTTTGCCCTCCAGGCGAACTTTAATATTTTTTTAATTTCTTTTTCCATCCATCCATCAAAATCAAATCAAACGAACAGGGCTTTAAGATGTAAACATACAATTAGCTTCATCACCTGTGCTAGTTAATGTCAAAGTTTGGTTTGTGTAGATGCTGCAAAATGGAAAAATACCTTGTCATTGGTAGGATCAAAAGCAATGGCTATATCTTAAAGAGTTTGCTCTGGTTGGTTTATTAACGGATAGTTATTGTCATGACTCTCCGGGGACCAAGCCTTGATCTCCAAATTCTAATGCCATACGACCATCCCTCCATATCCGCGAGGTCTTCATCGATGTATTAAACGAACCATGACTTGAACATAAGCAAACTTTGATTTCGCCAAGCATCACATTGATGCCAAGGCAGACCTCATTTTCAGAATTTCATTGATTCTCAGGATCCTTCCAGCGTCTTTGCCATTTGATATAAGGGCTGCCAAAGGCCCAGCATAATGTATGCTTAGGGCACTTGGGGAACACGAAACATATGAGTAGGAAGGCAGCTCACAGAAGGCAAACAGTCTCTGTTTGATGGATTTAAGTGCCATGTTTGATAGAGTTAAGAGGCATCGCTCACCCTCAATTTAGCTTTGACATAAGAGCTGCGCTTTGAGTTAAGAGCTAGTGCGAGAGGAAGCGTGAGAGCCAAAATATTATGGAGCTTTAAGGCTTCAAGGGAGCAGCTGCCGTGCCTCTTGCTTTTGTCCACTTTGGGAGATTGCTGTCCGCTTTGCTCTTCTCCACTTTGAGGAACTTTGGGTTAGTTGGTTTTGTGTGGGTTTTATTCCCGGTATGTTTAGCTTTTTGAAGGGAAAGAGAGAGAGAGGGAGCAAGAGAGGGAGGGAGGCTGGAATGAGGTCAGGATGAGGAAGAAAAGGATGCTTCTGACTCTTCTTCGCTGCTTTGTGCTTCCTTGCTACAACTTTGTGCTTCTACCATTTTAAAGTTGATCTTTCTTTCTGTATTGTCCCCCTTGAATGTTTACTTATACCTTATTTCTTATTTAAAAAGTACACTTTCTTATTCAAAAACTCATAACAAAAAAGGGGGGGGAGTTTGGAGGCCCAAAATGGATTAATTTAATTTCAGTGGTAAATTTTGTTTAAGAGCGATTTGAGTTAAGAGCTCGGTCACGAAACGAATTAAACTCTTAACTCGAGGTATTAGTGTATTTAATTTTAGCCTATAGGTGTAACAAAAAGGGGGGGCTTGGGGCCCCAAAATGGATTAATTTAATTTCTGTGGGAAATTTTGTATAAGAGTGATTTGAGTTAAGAGCTCAGTCACGAAACGAATTAAACTCTTAACTCGAGGTATTAGTGTATTTAATTTTAGCCTACCATTCTAGTAGTGAGATCCGTCTTCCACCCCCTTCATCTGTGGCTCAAGTGGGAACCCATTTGCTCCTGTAAACACTTCAACAACTTACACATTTGTTACTCCAACAGAGAACTTGCTTTGTGTGCCGGATCCAAAGGAATACCACTGGACAAGCCAAGGGGTGGTTGTGGTTGACAACATGGATGACGGAGAAGAATTGCTCCTCACCGATGTAAGTTTGCAAGGACAGAAGAGTGTGTGTGTCTGCGTATCCAGTGTGTTTGGTATAGACCAGTGGTTCTCAACCTGTGGGTCCCCAGATATTTTGGCCTACAACTCCCAGAAATCCCAGCCAGTTGACCAGCTGTTAGGATTTCTGGGAGTTGAAGGCCAAAAACATCTGGGGACCCCAGGTTAAGAACCACTGGTATAGACATATATTCACTGTTTTGACCGTGCTAGGGACCTCCACCCAAAGGCTGAATTCAGTTTGAGAGTTCTTCTTGGGAAGTAGTACTCCAGAAAAAGTAACTTCCCCATGTTCTGATTATGCTGTGTACTGTTGGGCAACCGTCATTCCATGAGGGTTCTGGTGACACCGCAGATATGGAGACCTGGGTCTGTTTGGGAAGGTCAGACCATAAATGATTCCCTTCCATCCATCTCCTTCCAGGTTGCCTTTGACGTCCTGGGCTTCACTCAAGAAGAGAAGGTCAGCGTCTACAAGCTCACCGGTGGCATCATGCATTTCGGCAATATGAAATTCAAGCAGAAGCCAAGAGAGGAACAGGCAGAAGTCGACACCACCGAAGGTAATGACCAAGACGGAGAGGGTGGAGACCTAGAACTTTATACCATGAGGTGGAGAAAGTCGAATCATGGCAAACAACTTTGGGTCTTGGCTTGTTTGACCCATCAATGCACTCGTTGCACTCAGATTGTGCTTGGATTCTGACTTTTCATTGATGGGGAATAATATGTCAAGGATCCAATATTGTTATTTTTCTGCCCTTATTTCTTGTGTGATAGTTTTCTTATTATTTTACTCTATTTATTGTTATTATTACATTTAGTATTTATTGTACTGCGACATAAAAAAATCTATTATTACTATTATTATTACATTTATTATTTTACTCTATTTATTATTGTTATTATTACATTTATTATTTTACTTTATTATATTATTGTTATTATTACATTTATTATTTTACTTTATTGTTGTTGTTATTATTACATTTATTATTTTACTCTATTTATTATTGTTATTATTATATTTATTATTTTACTTTATTATTATTATTACATTTATTATTTTACTCTATTTATTGTTATTACATTTATTATTTTACAATATTATTACTATAATTACATTTCCATTATTGTACTACGACATGAACAACACATCTATTATTATCATTATTACATTTATTATTTTACTTTATTATTATTACATTTATTATTTTACTCTATTTATTGTTATTATTACATTTAGTATTTTATGATATTATTACTGTTATTATTACATTTCCATTATTGTACTCTTATGAAAGAAACATCTATTATTACTATTATTATTGTTATTATTACATTTATTATTTTACTTTATTATTATTATTACATTTATTATTTTACTCTATTATTGTTATGATTACATTTAGTATTTTATGATATTATTACTATTATTATTACATTTATTATTTTACTCTATTTAATATTGTTATTATTACATTTATTATTTTACAATATTATTACTATAATTACATTTCCATTATTGTACTACGACATGAACAACACATCTATTATTATCATTATTACATTTATTATTTTACTTTATTATTATTATTACATTTATTATTTTACTCTATTTATTGTTATTATTACATTTAGTATTTTATTATATTATTACTGTTATTATTACATTTCCGTTATTGTACTGCGACATGAACAACACATCTATTATTATCATTATTACATTTATTATTTTACTTTATTATTATTACATTTATTATTTTACTCTATTTATTATTATTACATTTAGTATTTTACTCTATTATTTGTTTGATTAATTTATATTTTATCTATTATTACTATTATTATTACATTTATATTTTACTCTATTATTATTTACATTTTCATTATTATTTCTATTATTATTTTATTACATTTATTTTACTCTATTTATTTTTATTATTATTACATTTATTATTTTACTTTATTATTATTACATTTATTATTTTACTCTATTTATTGTTATTACGTTTAGTATTTTATTATATTATTACTGTTATTATTACATTTCCATTATTGTACTGCGACATAAAAAAATCTATTATTACTATTGTTATTACATTTATTATTTTACTCTATTTATTATTGTTATTATTACATTTATTATTTTACTCCATTTTTATTGTTATTATTACATTTATTATTTTACGATATTATTACTATTACATTTCCATTATTGTACTGTGACATGAACAAAACATTTATTATTATTATTATTACATTTATTATTTTACTTTATTATTATTATTACATTTATTATTTTACTTTATTTATTGTTATTATTACATTTAGTATTTTATGATATTATTACTGTTATTATTACATTTCCGTTATTGTACTGCGACATAAAAAAATCTATTATTACTATTATTATTACATTTATTATTTTACTCTATTTATTATTGTTATTATTACATTTATTATTTTACTCTATTATTATTTTTATTATTATTTTACTCTATTTATTATTGTTATGATTACATTTCCATTATTTTACTCTATTATTATTTTTATTATATTTATTATTTTACTCTCTTTATTATTATTGGAAGGATACATAAGCACATTTACATTGAAGAAAGTTAGAATAATGGTTTAATCAGAGTTGGACAGTCTTATCTTAAATTACAGTTTTATGTAAATATTCAAAAACATTTAACCTCTGATGCCTCAATTAATGTAATTTTATTGGTATCTATTTTTATTTTGAAATTTACCATAGCTGCTGCATTTCCCACCCTCGGCTTACTATAATAATAATAATAATAATAATAATAATTATAATTATTATTATTATTATTATTATTATTATTATTATTATTATTATTTACTGTATGTGCCGTCGCACCTGGGAGCTATAACTCTTAGTGAAAGATGCATGGACGTGACATCTTTCCCACAGGGGATTGCTTCTTGCCCTCCTTTAGGAAAACTGGAACTCCCAAGGACCAAAACACTGTAGATAACTCAAAATAGGTTTTATTGTTCACAAAGAGTTATCCCTTTAAGGCAATAAGCTGGAAGTTTCAAAGGGGTAAAGGAAATATACATTACAGTCTCTGGTTGTCTTGGGTCCAAGGAGTTTTGCAGCTGAGAAGCTTTTCCAGGTCCCTCTTTCTCAATGGCTGTGAATATCAGAATAATCACAACCCCAATTCCAATGGCCTATATTTTGAAGGCACAAAGCCTTCCTCTGGTGCCAAAGAACTGGTTTGAAGGCGCTTGAGACTTCTCAACGTCGTCCAGGTTGATCTGAACATGAAGCATAAGTCTCAAGGGTAAGAACCTCAGAATTGGTGCTGAGAGGTAACTTCATCAAGGGCTTCAGAGCCAAGTCTCTCTCTCACGTCCATCTGATAGAAAGTTTGATGGTGGAATGGAAAAGGAAACACTGTCCTGCTCTCTAGGAAGAGGTGGGGTCAAACAATTGAGCAGGAGGAGCAATTCAACTGGTGCAAACAACATTGATTGACAGCTATAAATAACCAATCAATCCAACTATACATTTACAGGGTAAAAAGGCAAAATCAGGCATGATACAACAGTTCAAACCCTGCAACTTACAGTTCTACATATAGGCTATACCGCCATTCTCAGCCCGGGGGCGACTCATGGCGGTTTACAGAACGGCACAATTTGATGCCCCTAACAATATAAAAATAGCTAAAACATTTAAACATAGATAAAAATTCACTACATTATATCAATAAAAATTGTTTTCCCAGTTTTTTGTGGTAAAATTAGGTACCTCAGCTTATATTTGGTTTGGTTTATACTCGAGTATATACGGTACTTCTTTCTCTGAAAATGCCTGGTGTATTCTGTCCCACTGGAAACAGATTAAGGAACATTTTTAAGGTTCAAAAAGTATTAATGACAAGAACCTGTAAATCAGATTTGCAAAAGAATTGAAGAATTGAAGTGCATTTGGGTTTCTGTCTCTTTGACCTTCTCCTTCTCGTTCTTCTGGTCGTCAGTGGCTGACAAAGTCGCCCACCTCATGAGCCTCAACTCCGGGGAACTCCAGAAGGGCATCACCAGGCCCCGGGTGAAAGTGGGCAACGAGTTCGTCCAGAAAGGGCAGAACATGGACCAGTGCCACAACTCAGTGGGCGCCCTGGGCAAAGCCATCTACGACAAGATGTTCAAGTGGCTGGTGGTCCGCATCAACAAGACCCTGGACACCAAGATGCAGAGGCAGTTCTTCATCGGGGTGCTGGATATCGCCGGCTTTGAGATCTTTGAGGTACGGATGGGCTGGTGGGCCTCCACTTGGAGCCAGTTCCCCCTCCTGGGAGCCACAACCAGGAAGGCTCTCTCTTGGTGATGGCACTACGTCCAAGAGAAAGCCTTGACTGAATTCCCTGAACTTCCTTCTACCCAATCAATAGTTTTCATTGTCGATGGACTTCATCTCACGGGATAAGAAAAGTGTTTGGGACGGTTTTCCCTTAAGCTTCGCAATGCCTTGTTTGGCTTAGGAATTTTTGGGAAAACTATTTTATTTATTTACTAGATGTACCCGCCACGCATTGCTGTGGCCAACCTTCCTTCCTTCATTCTCTCCTTCTTTCCCTCCTTCCCCTCCTCCCTTTCTCTCCTTTTTCTTTCCTTCTCTCCTTCCTTCCTTCTCTTTTCTTTCCTTCTCCTTTTTTCTTTTCCTTCCCTTTCTCTCCTTCTTCCTTCTCTATCTTTCTTTCCTTCCTTCACTTTTTGCTTCAATCCTTCCTTCTTCCCTCTTTCCTTTTCTCCTTCTCTCTCTTTCCTTCCTTCCTTCGCTTTTTGCTTCCACCCTTCTTTCTTTCCTTCTTTCCTTCCCTCCTCTTTTTCTCCTTCTTTCCCTCCTTCCTTTCGCTCCCTCTTTCCTTCCTTCCCTATTGTTCTTTCCTTTCCTTTCTCTACCTCTTTCTTTCCATCTCCCATTTTTTCTTTTCCTTCCCTCTTTCTTTCCATTCTTTCTTCTCTAGCTTTCTTTCCTTCCTTCGCTTTTTGCTTCCACTCTTCTGTCTTTCCTTCTTTCCTTCTCTCTCTCTCGCTCTCTCCATTCTTCCTTCTCTATCTTTCTTTCCTTCCTTCTTTTTACTTCCATCCTTCTATCTTTCCTTCCCTCTGTCTTTCTCTCCTTTCTTCCTTCTCTACCTCTTTCCTTCTCTTCCTTCCTTTTCTCTTTAGTTCCATCCTTCCTTCTCTCTTTCCTTCTTTCCTTCCCTCCCTCTCTTTCTCCTTCTTTCCCTCCTTCCTTCTCCCTCTTTCCTTCCTTCCTTTTTCCTTTCCTTCCTTCTCTACCTCTTTCTTCCTCTTTCCCCTTTTCTTTTCCTTCCGCTTTCTCTCCTTCCTTCCTTCTCTACCTCTTTCTTTCCTTCTCCCTTTTTTCTTTTCCTTCCCTTTTTTTCCTTCTTCCTTCTCTAGCTTTCTTTCCTTCCTTCGTTTTTTGCTTCCACCCTTCTGTCTTTCCTTCTCTCTTTCTCTTTCTCTCCATTCTTCCTTCTCCATCTTTTTTTCCTTCCTTCACTTTTTGCTTCCATCCTTCTATCTTTCCTTCCCTCTGTCTTTCTCTCCTTTCTTCCTTCTCTACCTCTTTCCTTCCTTCCTTCGCTTTTTGCTTCCATTCTTCCTTCTCTCTTTCCTTCTTTCCTTCCCTCCCTCTTTTTCTCCTTTTTTCCCTCCTTCCTTCACTCCCTCTTTTCTTTCCTTCTCTCCTTCCTTCCTTCTCTACCTTTTCTTCCTTCCCCTTTTCTTTCCTTCCTTTCCTCTCCTTCCTTCCTTCTCTACCTCTTTCTTTCCTTCTCCCATTTTTTCTTTTTCTTCCCTCTTTCTTTCCATTCTTCCTTCTCTAGCTTTCTTTCCTTCCTTTGCTTTTTGCTTCCACCCTTCTTTCTTTCCTTCTTTCCTTCCCTCCTCTTTTTCTCCTTCTTTCCCTCCTTCCTTCGCTCCCTCTTTCCTTCCTTCCATTTTGTTCTTTCTTTCCTTCCTTCCTTCTCTACCTCTTTCTTCCCTTCCCCCCTTTTCTTTTCCTTCCCCTTTCTCTCCTTTCTTCCTTCTTTACCTCTTTGCTTCCATGCTTCCTTCTCTCTTTCCTTCTTTCTTTCCCTCCTTCTTTCTCTCCTTCCTTCCTTTTTTATTTCTTTCTCCCCTTCCTTCCCTCTCTCTTCCATTTTTTCTGTATTGTCATTTAGCTTTTTTGAGTTTTTAAGTCCTTTCTACTGTTTTGTTTTTTGGGGGTGGTGGTTATGAATGATGGTCACTCGTTGGTCTGTTAGGGGTGTAGTGTCCAAATTTGGTGTCAATTCATCCAGTGGTTTTTGAGTTCTGTTAATCCCACAAACGAACATTACATTTTTATTTATATAGATTTACAGTATTTATATTCCACCCTTCTCACCCCGCAGGGGACTCAGGGCGGATTACAATGTACATATACATGGCAAACATTCAATGCCACAGACACACAACATATATAGACAGACAGCACAGAGGCTATTTAACATTCCAGCTTCATGAGGTATTCTGGCCACCAGGGGAGCTGTTGCTTCACTGTCCATTTGTGACACTCATTGAGTACTTGCTCATTATGCCATCGCACCTGGGGGCTATAACTCTTAGTGAAAGAGACATAGACGTGACATCTTTTCCCCAGGGGATTGCTTCTTGCCTTCCTTTAAAGAACTGGAACTCCCAAGGACCAAAACACTGTAGATAACTCAAAATAGGTTTTATTGCCCACAAAGAGTTGTCCCTTTAAGGCAATAAGCTGGAAGTTTCAAAGGGGTAAAGGAAATATACATTAGAGTCTCTGGTTGTCTTGCGTCCAAGGAGATTTCGCAGCTGAGAAGCTTTTCAAGGCTCCCTCTTTCTCAATGGCTACAAATATCTGAACATTCACAGCCCCAATCCAAATGGCCTATATTTGAAGACACGAAGCCTTCCTCTGGTACCACAGGACCGGTTTGAAGGCACTTGGGTCTCCTCAACGTTGTCCAGGGCGATCTGGGCATGAAGTATGAGTCCCAAGGGTAAAAACCTTAGAATTGGTGATGAGAGGTAACTTAATTAAGGGCTTTAGAGCCAAGTCTCTTTCTCACGTCCATCTGATAGAAAGTTTGATGGTAGAATGGAAAAGGAAAAGCTCTGCCCTCCTCCAGGAAGAGGTGGAGCCAAGCAATTGAGCTGAGGAAGCAATATAACTGGTGCAAACAACATTGATTGACAGCTATAAATAACCAATCAATCCAACTATACATTTACAAACTAGGCAAGTTTGGGCATGTTATACAGTTTAAACCTTTTGCACTTTAAAGTTCTACACACAGGTGGCGCCACTCGCGCCATCACACTCATTCTTTTGCATGCTTGCTGGAGATTTTATGGCATCGTAATTACTTAAATTAGCCTCCTTGCATAAGTGGTACCTAAATTTCCTACTTGACAGATACGACAGTCTTTCGGGCTGCAGAGGTCGACCGCAAGCTACACAATGGTCAGAAACTCACTCTGACCTGAGCTGGCTTCGAACTCATGACCTTTAGAAACGGCAAAACATTTCAACCCCATGGTTGAAGCTTGTATCGTATGAAGGGCATTGTGGGTTGACATTTCTGAAATGTGTAGAAATGCTGGCTTTACTGCGTGGGATGAAGTCCTAAATGTCTTTATCACGGCTCAAAGCAGTGTCTCTTCTGTTCCTTCTGCAGTTCAACAGCTTTGAGCAGCTGTGCATCAACTTCACCAACGAGAAGCTGCAGCAGTTCTTCAACCACCACATGTTTGTCCTGGAGCAAGAGGAGTATAAGAGAGAAGGGATCGATTGGGTGTTCATTGACTTTGGCCTGGATCTGCAGGCTTGCATTGAGCTCCTGGAAAAGGTGACCGTCATCATCATCATCAATCACTACCATCACCATTTTGTTTGATTTATAGCCCATTCCTCCAATTTGTGCCAACACATATTGGTCCTCCTGTTTGTTTACATCCTCACCACATCTCTGTCAGAGAGACACAGATTAGCCCAGGGACATCTAGTTGGCTTCAAGGCTGAGTAGTGGTGTGAACTCAAGACACAGGTCCATGTTGTCTCTCTACGTGACCTATAGATAGAACGATGCAGTAGTTTATTTATGTATTTATTGGTCCTCCTCTTTGTTTACATCCTCACCTCTCTGTCAGAGAGATACAGATTAGCCCAAGTACAGCTTCAAGGCTGAATAGTGGTGTGAACTCAAGACACAGGTCCATGTTGTCTCTCTACGTGACCTATAGATTGAACGATGTAGTAGTGTGTTTGTTTGTTTATCTACTGTATTTGTACACCGCCTTTCTCAGCCTATTGGCGACTCAAGGCGGTTTCCAACAAAACAGTATACATAATGGGTTGTTGTAGGTTTTTTTGGGCTATATGGCCATGGTCTAGAGGCATTCTCTCCTGACCTTTCGCCTGCATCTATGGCACTACCTCTGAGGATGCTTGCCATAGATGCAGGCGAAACGTCAGGAGAGAATGCCTCTAGAACATGGCCATATAGCCCGAGAAAACCTACAACAACCCAGTGATTCCAGCCACGAAAGCCTTCGAAAATACAGTATACATATTACCATAATGCAGATTAAAACATTAAAACATGACAGTATAAAACACAACAAAGGCAACAAAAAACAACATAATTAGTGTCTCCTTATTATCAAGCATTGTCCAGTTCCATCGTCAAGTCGTTAGATTTCCTATATCAATTACTCTGCATTTGTAAACGCTTGCTCAAATAGCCATGTTTTAACTTGCCTCCGAAACGTTACGAGGGAGGAAGCAGATCTAATCTCCCTAGGGAGGGCATTCCATAGCCGAGGGGCCACCACTGAGAAGGCCCTGTCTCTCGTCCCCGCCAGATGTACTTGTGACGAAAGCAGGACTGAGAGCAGGACCTCCCCAGATGATCTTTGAGCTTTGGAGGCCTGCTGCTAAGTCACACACTCGTAGCCCCAGAAACCCCCCTGATAGGTTCACCACAGATTCACCATCAGTTGGAAATGATTCAAAGGCACACAACGACAATAAAAGGCTCAAACTCAGCCCTCCTGAATCAAACTCAGACCCCCCCAATCAAACTCAGCCCCCCCGAATCAAACTCAGCCCCCCCGAATCAAACTCAGCCCCCCCCGAATCAAACTCAGCCCCCGAATCAAACTCAGCCCCCCCGAATCAAACTCAGCCCCGAATCAAACTCAGCCCCCCGAATCAAACTCAGCCCCCCCAAATCAAACTCAGCCTCCCAAATCAAACTCAGCCCCCAAATCAAACTCAGCCCCCCCGAATCAAACTCAACCCCCCGAATCAAACTCAGCCCCCCCAAATCAAACTCAGCCCCCCAAATCAAACTCAGCCCCCCGAATCAAACTCAGCCCCCCGAATCAAACTCAGCCCCCCGAATCAAACACAGCCCCCCCCGAATCAAACTCAGCCCCCCTGAATCAAACTCACCCCCCCGAATCAAACTCAGCCCCACCCCAAATCAAATTCAGCCCCCGAATCAAACTCCCCCCCCGAATCAAACTCAGCCCCCCGAATCAAACTCAGCCCCCCAAATTGAACTCAGCCCCCCGAATCAAACTCAGCCCCCCCAAATCAAACTCAGCCCTCCCAAATCAAACTCAGCCCCCCGAATCAAACTCAGCCCCCCAAATCAAACTCAGCCCCCCGAATCAAACTCAGCCCCCCCGAATCAAACTCAGCCCCCCCCCAATCAAACTCCTGCCTACGGGCCTGCACAGGATGGTAAAACCTTCTGGTCAGCAAGTTCAGCAGCTCAGCGGTTTAACCAGGCCACCAGAGGGACTGGCATGACTGTATGGAGTGCCGTTACCTTCCTGCCTAAGCGGTACCTGTTGATCTACTCACATTTTTTTGAACTGCTAGGTTGGCAGAAGCTGGGGCTAACAGCAAGAGCTCACCCCCTCCCCAGGATTCGAACTGCCAACCTTCAGGTCAGCAGTTTAGCAGCGCAAGGGCTTAACCCATTGCGCCTCTACTCCCACCAAAGCGGTACCTATTGATCTACTCACATTTTTGAACTGCTAGATTGGCAGAAGCTAGGGCTAACAGCGGGAGCTCACTCTGTCCCGCGGATTCGAACTGCCAACCTTCAGGTCAGCAGTTTAGCAGCGCAAGGGCTTAACCCATTGCGCCTCTACTCCCACCAAAGCGGTACCTATTGATCTACTCACATTTTTGAACTGCTAGATTGGCAGAAGCTAGGGCTAACAGCGGGAGCTCACTCTGTCCCGCGGATTCGAACTGCCAACCTTCAGGTCAGCAGTTTAGCAGCGCAAGGGCTTAACCCATTGCGCCTCTACTCCCACCAAAGCGGTACCTATTGATCTACTCACATTTTTGAACTGCTAGATTGGCAGAAGCTAGGGCTAACAGCGGGAGCTCACTCTGTCCCACGGATTCGAACTGCCAACCTTCAGGTCAGCAGTTTAGCAGCGCAAGGGCTTAACCCATTGCGCCTCTACTCCCACCAAAGCGGTACCTATTGATCTACTCACATTTTTGAACTGCTAGATTGGCAGAAGCTAGGGCTAACAGCGGGAGCTCACTCTGTCCCGCGGATTCGAACTGCCAACTTTCAGGTCAGCAGTTTAGCAGCGCAAGGGTTTAACCCATTGCGCCTCTACTCCCACCAAAGCGGTACCTATTGATCTACTCACATTTTTGAACTGCTAGATTGGCAGAAGCTAGGGCTAACAGCGGGAGCTCACTCTGTCCCACGGATTCGAACTGCCAACCTTCAGGTCAGCAGTTTAGCAGCGCAAGGGCTTAACCCATTGCGCCTCTACTCCCACCAAAGCGGTACCTATTGATCTACTCACATTTTTGAACTGCTAGATTGGCAGAAGCTAGGGCTAACAGCGGGAGCTCACTCTGTCCCGCGGATTCGAACTGCCAACCTTCAGGTCAGCAGTTTAGCAGCGCAAGGGCTTAACCCATTGCGCCTCTACTCCCACCAAAGCGGTACCTATTGATCTACTCACATTTTTGAACTGCTAGATTGGCAGAAGCTAGGGCTAACAGCGGGAGCTCACTCTGTCCCACGGATTCGAACTGCCAACCTTCAGGTCAGCAGTTCAGCAGCACAAGGGTTTAACCCATTGCGTCACTATAAAAATAGCCAAAAATGGGTACTGCATACTTTCAGATTGGAAGGACAACAGAGAAGAAGCAAACTCTGGCCCTTTCTAGACTGCAATATAAAATCCAGATTATCTGCTTTGAACGGAATTATATGGCAGCGTAGAGTCATCTAATCCTGCTCCCCCAATCACACAAGCACAGGTAAAGGCCAAGGCTTCCCCTTTCATTTCCGGCTCATTGGGTAGAAACCGCCTGGCGCTCCTTCCTTCAAATCGTGTGCTGTTGAGTTTGTGTCTTCCTCTCACTGGTCCTTCTCGCCCTTTCCTTTCCTCAGCCCATGGGCATCTTCTCCATCCTGGAAGAGCAGTGCGTGTTCCCCAAGGCCACCGATGCGACTTTCAAGGCTGCCCTCTACGACAACCATCTGGGCAAGTCCCCCAACTTCCTGAAGCCCAAAGGCGGCAAGGGCAAAGGGGCGGAAGCTCACTTCGAGCTGGTGCATTATGCAGGGACGGTGAGTACGAAGCATGCAGGGATGCACTCACCAGCCATTCATGGTAGAAGTTGCAATCCTGCCATCAAGGTTTTATCGCCCCCGTACCTGGTCACTGTGATTTAGCACTCTACCCAGCATTATACCTTCCAAATATGACAATGTATTTTTAATTCCCAACATTATATATGTTTGCATGAACCTGTTGTGCAGTTTTTACGGTGGACTCCGTAGAACAGAGGTTCTCAAAGCGTGCTCCGTGGAGCCCTTGCGGTTCCTTGCTTCCAGAATTTCCTGGAATGGAAACTTGGCAACTTCATCTTCCCTATTTCCCTCCCCCTGCTCACGGGGTGCTTTGATTGTGCTTTAACTGAATAGCAGAATAAAGGGGGTTGGACTGGATGACCCCTGGTGTTCCTTATCCTTTTCTTTCTCCTCCCTCCTGTTTCTCCTCCTCCTTTTTCTCCTCCTCCTCCTTCTCCTCTCCTCCTCTCTTCCCTCCTCTTCCTCCTTTCCTCCTCTTCTCCTTCTCTTTCTCCTCCTTCCTTTTCTTTCTCCTCTCCTCCTCTCCTCCTTCTCCCCTCCTCTCCTCCTCCTCCTCCTCTCCCTTTCTCTTCTTCCTCCTCCTCCTCCTCCTCCTCCTTTTTCTCCTCCTCCTCCTCCTCCTCTTCCTCCTCCTCCTTCTCCTTTTCTTTCTCCTCCTCCTCCTCCTTTTTCTCCTCCTCCTTCTTCTCCTTTTCTTCCTCCTCCTCCTCCTCTTCCTCCTCTCTCTCCTCCTTTCCCTCCTCCTCCTTCTCTCTCTTTCTCCCTTTCTTTCTCCTCCTCCTTTTCTTTCTCCTCCTCCTCTTCCTCCTCCTCTCCTCCTTTCTCCTTTTCTTCTCTTCTCTCCTCCTCCTCCTCCTTTCTCCTCCTCTCCTCCTTCTCTTTCTCCTTCTCCTTTTCTTTCTCCTCTCCTCTCTTTTCTCCTCCTCCTTCTTCTCCTTTTCTCCTCCTCCTCCTCCTTTCCTCCTCTCTCCTCCTTTCCCCGCCTCCTCCTTTCTCCTTCTCTTTCTCCTCCTCCTTTTCTTTCTCCTCCTCCTCCTCCCCTCCTTCTCCTTTCTTCTTCTTCTCCTCCTCCTCCTCTTTCTCCTTTCCCCCCTCCTCCTCCTCCTCCAGGCTGGGTGGTCATCTGTTGGGTGTGCTTTGATTGTGCTTTTTCTACCTGGCAGAATAAAGGGAGTTGAAACTCAGTAAGATGCTGGGGATTTCTCCAAGGATGAGAGAGATGATGGGTTTCCTACTGAGGAGTCTGTGTCTGATCAGGGTGAATTGCAGGCCTTAGATCAGAGAGAAATGCAGACAGTTGATGATGAGACTGAAGATGTTTTGGATTCCAATGTTTGTTCCTTAGCAACATGGGAAAAGTCCATTTCTCTTGGGAAGCAGCCTTGCGCTGATGGGGAGTTTTCCCATGATATCAGATTAGGTCTCTGCATGGAGGGAGTGAAGGATAGATTAATTAGGCAGAGAGACTCAGTGGGAAGTCCTTGAAAACCAGGTGTGTGAGGCATGATCTCATGGCTTCTTGGTTGGGCTTGGCCTTAAATTAAGTGATGTTTATTGATTTCTCTCAGAGCAGACAACTTTGTCAGAAGATTCAGGTCCCTTGAGGTCATGATTCAAGTTTCCTGTGTTTGCCTATGTTCCTGAAAAAGTTTTGCATTGGGAAAAGTTTTCTGCTTTCATGCTTATGGATTTATGCCTGTGATCTTGACTTCCTAGATTTCAAGTGTTTTGTCATTCTTGGTCTACTGTTCTTTCGTATTTTATAGCTCCTTTCCTACTACTTTTTTGGAAAATGCCCTTCCCCTCCCTTGTACCTGCTTTTCTTAATAAACTGTTGTAGTTAGTACTATTGGACACTGAGATGGTGCGGGGTGAAAACGTGTCCCCATCAGCGGCCTTCCACTGATGGGGAGTTTTCCCATGATATTAGATTAGGTCTCTGCACAGAGGGAGTGAAGGATAGCTTAATTAGGCGGCTAGAGTGCAACACATACCCACATAAACTTTACTCTTCGAAACAAATAGTAATGCTCAGAATATCTGATCTCCAGCTTCTACTCCTCATAGATGCCCACAAACCATTGAGTGGAGTGACTCTTAGTTGTAACACCACTGTCTCCCTGTCTCTCCTTCCAGGTGGGCTACAACATCACCGGGTGGCTGGAGAAGAACAAGGACCCCCTGAACGAGACGGTGGTGGGCTTGTTCCAGAAGTCGGGGATGCCCCTACTTTGCACTCTCTTTAAAGAAGAAGAGCCCAGTATGTAGATCACATTGGTGGTTGTTGTTTTTATTATTTTTAATTACTGTTTCATCTTTGCAACATCTTATTTAATATTTCCATTGGTGCATATACCTATCAGCATCTTGTTTTCGGGGACCGCCATCGTGCAGCAAGTTAAACCGTTAAGCGATGGTGCAATGGGTTAAACCCTTGTGCTGCTGAACTGCTGACCTGAATCACCAAGAGTCCTCATGGGCCATCCAGTCCAACCCTATTCTGCCAAGATGCAGGAAGGTTGGCTGAACTGTTGATTAGAAGGTTGGTGGTTCAAATCCCCAGGCAGGGTGAGCTCCCATTGCTAGACTGGCCACAGCAACGCGTGGCAGGGGACAGCTAGTAATCTATATAAATAAAAATGTAATGTTCGTTTGTGGGATTAAAATAACTCAAAAACCACTGGACAAATTGACACCAAATTTGGACGCAACATACCTACCAGGCCAACAAGTGACCATCACTCATAAAAACACTGAAAAACACAGCAGAAGGGACTTAAAAAGCAATATATATATATATATATATATATATATATATATATATATAACAGCACATGCACAAAACAACATATATACACAAACGCACATATATACACATATACACAAATATATATATATATATATATATATATATACACACACACACAGCACATATACACCGACTGGGCCACAGCAATGTATTGCAGGGGACGGCTAGTAATAATAATAATAATAATAATAATAATAATAATAATAATATTTATTTATTTATTTATTTATAGTATTTATATTCCACCCTTCTCACCCCGCAGGGGACTCAGGGTGGACCACAATGTAAATATACATGTCAAGCATTCAATGCCATAGACACACAACATATATAGACAGATAAACAGGGGCTATTTAACTTTCTAGCTTCGTGAGGGTATGCTTTTTTGAATTCCAGCCACCGGGGGAATTATAACTTCACAAGCTAAAATTAAATAAAAAGTACAGCCTGTTATAACAGACATAAGACAAAACATCAAATGGAAACAATAATGCCCCATTTCTTTGGGGAGAATCAATTAACTGCTTAGGTAAACAGTAAGCTGAGCTGACAGTCGGGAGCTCACACCAACCTGGGGCTTCAAACTGGCAACCTTTCAGTTGGTAGATCTTATCGCTGCTGGTGAGTTACCTGCTGTGCTAAAGCCCGACTCTGAGTCAATATCAACATACCTTTCAAATAGCCAACTATCTAAAACTTCCAACCTTTTGAGAAGGTGTATGTTTAATTGTCTTGATATCAACCAAAAACTTGAACCATTTGTATTTTGTTGTTTTGTCCTCAGCGGCAGGAACCAAGAAGCAGAAGAGAGGCTCCTCATTTATGACCGTCTCCAACTTCTACAGGGTAAGAGGGCTTTTTAGGGTTTTTTAATACTGGTAGCCAGATTTTATTCATTTTCATGGTTTCCTCCTTTCTGTTGAAATTGTCCACGTGCTTGTTGTGAATTTCAACGGCCTCTCTGTGTAGCCTGGCATGGTGGTTGTGAGAGTGGACCAGCATTTCTGTAGAAAGGAGGAAACCATGAAAATTCCAGAAAGGAAACAATCAGTGCCAGCGAACACCTCCCAACAAAGGATTCCCCCAGGCAGGGAGCAGCCAGGCTTTGGAGCTGCAAACCTATTCAATGCTAATCAAGATGGCCAACAGCAACATGCACACTTGCCACAAACCTTGAATTGAAGTGGACTCAAAGGCAGTTGACATCAAACCAGACCATCCACATACCTTGCCATGCCCAAATCCAACCCTTGTTGTCTTCTACACTTTCCTTTCTATCACGTGTATAGTCCAAGATACCCAGAAAGTGTCCTCTTTTTTGCTCAACGTCCTTCTGATGTTTGCCTTCCTACTTTTTCAGGAGCAGCTGAACAAACTGATGGCCACCTTGCACAGCACCGCCCCGCATTTCGTGCGCTGCATTGTCCCCAACGAATTCAAGCAGTCCGGTAGGTATTCTTGCTGTTGCATCCCAGATCAAGAAACGAGACCATAAGATTAAATCCACCACACTGGACTGTAGGAAAAACAATCCTTGTTTATTGATGAAAAATTGGTTACAAAAGAAAGGTAAATGCAAAGTCAAAAAGCCACAATAGAAACACAGCAGTCAGTAGAATCTCTGAACTTGAGCAAAATTCCAAAAGCCACAATACAAGAACCAGGAACCTGTTAGCCTCTCGCTAACCATGAACTTGAAAACTAGAAGCCTCTGGGATTACCGGCCATGGAACACAGGAATTCTGCCAAGGCACAGCCACAGTCCCAAACGTTGCTTGATCTAAAGAGACACCCAGCAGGAGGCCCCTTAAACCAAAGAAGATATTCTTTGAAACGCCCCTTGACTTTGAAGCCTGGGCCTGTCTCTCCTGTAAACGATTTGACCTTCGTAGAAACTGTGAAACATTTCTGTCTCTAACTATCTGTTCTCTTCGGTCCTCATTAAAAAACCCAGGTGGAGAGATATCACGGCTAGCTTCCAAAACATTTTCCTCCAGCTGTTCAGTTTCACTTTCCTCACCGCTGACCTCAGCATCAACAACAGATTCCACACTGTCAGGGAGAGCTTGCTCAGTTGGAAAAACTATCAGAGAATCCGGTTCACACAGATCAGGATCAGGCTGAACCCCAACACTTGCTTTGAATTGCAGAGAGCCAAATGTATTCTAGATCTGGGTTGGTGTAGGTTTTTCGGGCTATATGGCCATGTTCTAGTACAGTGCTTCTCAACCTTTCTAAAGCCGTGACAGTTCCTAAATACAGTTCCTCATGTTATGGTGACCTCCAACCATAAAATTATTTTCATTATTTTCATTGCTTCTTTAGAACTGTAATTTCACAACTGTTATGAATCATAACGTAAATATCTGATATGCAGGATGTATTTTAATTGTTACAAATTGAACCTAATTAAAGCATAGTGATTAATCACAAAAACAAAAAGTTTGGGGGAGTATGGATAATAGGTGATGGGATTTGCAGTCCCTTCAACCGATTCAGCTCTTACTTCACAATTGATTCAAACAGACTTGGGTTCTTATTCCACAGATATATATGTCCAGCTAAGGTGCAACTTGACAGAAGCAAAATGCTAGATCCACCAGACACAGCTCTGTAAATCAAGAACTCTGGAGACTTTGATTACAAAAGAAAACTCAGTTTACTAAGCACAGAAAAACACGTCCATCTACAGCGAGCGACACACAGGAAGAGACAGGAAAACCGAAAGTCAAAACAGAACTTTGCAGCTGTTAATCTTTCTTGCTCCAAGCGGCAACTCCCTAGAAGTTCTCAGCAGAAGAGAGCTTATCTTAAGGTCACTTAATCACAGCCTCAACATAAACATTTCAGTACAGCATTTCCATTCTCAGTGGCATCCATATTTGCTACACAAGAATTACATTTTTGTAGGTTTTTTCGGGCTAAAAGGCCATGTTCTAGAGGCATTCTCTCCTGACGTTTTGCCTGCATCTATGGCAAGCATCCTCAGAGGATAGTGAGGATGCTTGCCATAGATGCAGGCGAAACGTCAGGAGAGAATGCCTCTAGAACATGGCCCTATAGCCTGAAAAAACCCGCAAGAACCTAGTGATTCCAGCCATGAAAGCCTTTGACAATACATTTACACAAAAATTGCATTTAAAACTCATACACATAATACATATAATACCTCAATAAATCCTGACAATATATGCACCCCACTTGCTTCACTACCAACACAACCTCTGAAGATGCCATTATCCACAGATGCAGGTGAAACGTCAGAAGAGAATGGAGCTAGAACATGGCCATACAGCCTGGAAAACTCACAGCAACGCAGTGATTCCGGCCATGAAAGCCTTCGCCAACGCGTGATGAGAAATGCTAATGGTTGTTCTGTTTTGTTGTTGTTTTGCAGGGGTGGTGGACGCCCACTTGATCCTGCACCAGCTGGCCTGCAACGGTGTACTCGAAGGCATCCGTATTTGCAGGAAGGGCTTCCCCAACAGACTGCAATACCCAGAATTCAAACAGAGGTGCCTTTCTCCCCTTATTTCTCAAAATAACATGTGTTGAAGAGTCCCGAGGAAGCCCAGTGGCTCGTTGTTGCTCTGATGAGGATGCTCACGTTCCACTTTTGTCTCCATTGAGATGCAAAGGCTATGACTCGATTTGATATTATTATTGAAAGCAAATGAAGGCAGACGTAACCCAGTGTCGCACAGTTTTACTGTATTATAAAATCAGTTTTCTGAAGGTGGTTATTGCTAGTCGAAAGCCCTCCAACGCTGTTGTTTGCCTCTCATCCGCGCCAGGTACCAGGTGCTGAACCCCAATGTCATCCCGTCGGGCTTTGTGGACAATAAGAAGGCCTCTGAACTACTACTGGGAACCCTTGATTTGGGAGAGAATGAATACAAAATTGGACACACCAAGGTACCCTTGTGGGATTCCTATTCGATTCCGTCAGTTGTGTATCCACACAGCAGAATTATAGCAGATTGATACCGCTTCAACTGTCAAAGGTTCCACGCTATGGAATCCTTGGGTTTGTTGTTTCGAAAGATACTTCAGATTTGCTTTTAGCCTGAAGCACTAGAGTATTCTTATTTATTAATTAATAGCAATAATTAATAATGATCAATAATTAATAACTAATTATTAATTATTAATCATTATCGATTATTCATTATTATCAATTATAGTTATCAATTAGTAATGATTATGTATTAATGATCAATGATCAATGCTCAATCCTTCTCCAGAATCCCAGAATTGCTATTTACTCATTTTTAGATATTAATTACTAATTCTCAATTATGATCAATTCTCAATTATTAATAATTAATTATCAATGATCAGTCCTTCTCCAGAATCCCAGAATTACTAATTACTAAGTTTAGTTATGAATTATTAATTCTCAATTATTATCAGTTATCAATTATTAATTATTAATGATCAATGATCAATCCCAGAATTCACAATTACTAATTTTTAGATATTAATTAATAATTCTCAATTATTCTTAATTATCAATTATTATCAATTATCAATTACTGATCATTAATTATCAATGATCAATCCTTCTCCAGAATCCAAAAATTACTATTTACTAATTTTAGTTATTAATTACTTATTCTCAATTATTCTCAATTCTCAATTATTGATTAATGAGCAATGAGCAATCCTTCTCCAGAATCCCAGAATTATGTAGCATGGCAGTCATCAAAAGTGCCATCAAATTGCTATTCTTGTGCAGTGTAGATAGCAGACACTCCCTGAAGTGTGCTGGAAGACATGGGTGTTATAGTTTGGTGAGCCATCATCGCTATGTAGCAGAGAAGGCCCTCAAAACCTGATGAAACTAGAACTCCTAGGATTCCATTGCATTGGGTCATGCCAGCTGAAGTGGTCTCAAACTGTTTTCATTCTACAGTCTAGATGTGCAAACTTGGGCCTTCCCTTCAGGTGTTTTGGACTTCCACTATTCCTCACAACCTCAGCCCTCTTCCTTTTCCTTTTCCCTTTCCTCTGGCTGAGGGGGAAAAAAGGAAAAGGAAATAGAGGCAGTTAGGAATTGTGGGAGTTGAAGTCCAAAACACCTGGAGGGAAGGCCCAAGTTTGCCCATGCCTGGTGTAAACTCTTATGGAGCTATCCAAGGTGCTGGACCTTATCTCCAAAGCTGGTTCAGCACTTTGGATAGCTCCATGAACCAAATACAATCAATATACTGGGACCTCAATCCTAGTGAAGCATATATATCAGGCATGGGCCAACTTGGACCCTCCAGGTGTTTGGACTCAACCACAACAGAACTATACTGGCTGTTAGGAATTGTGGGAGTTGCAGTCCAAAGCACCTGGAGGGTCCAAGTTGGCCCATGCCTGATATATATGATAACACTGAGTGGTTTTGCTATCTCTCAGTCCATCAAACACCACATGGATCCCTTTTTTCTCCCTCAGGTCTTCTTCCGCGCCGGAGTCTTAGCCAAGCTGGAAGACATGCGAGACGAACGGTTGGCCAAAATCATGACGATGCTGCAGTGCCGCGGCCGGGGCTTCCTGATGAGAATCGAGTATAAAAAGATGCTCGACAGGAAGTATGTGCCATTGCCCTTCAATCCTTTGAGAAAGCAAACAACAACAATAGCAGCTTACCATTGTGGTTGTTACTCTGGGTGGGAGCTTCACCACTGGTTTTCCTTTTCATTCCAGGCTGGGTTTGATACTTATCCAGAGGAACGTCCGCAAATTCTTGCAGATGCGGTTCTGGGGCTGGTGGAAGCTGTACAACAAGGTGAGAGAATGGGCCATCCGTTCCACGTGAATTTCCGCTCTGCGTGGACGGAGGATAATTAGATTTTGTTATTGTTGTGGGTGCTGTGCCTTGAAAGGCTGACTCCATTCTGCATGGTGACGGAGATGATGCCTCTTGTTACTCACCTGTTTACCTGCCTCCCACAGGTGAAGCCTTTGCTGAATGTCGCCCGCCAAGAGGACGAGATGAAGGCCAAAGAGGAAGAGCTCAGGAGCGCCATGTCCAAGACACAGGAGCTGGTGGACCGCGTCAAAGAGCTGGAAGAAAAGTTGGCCACCCTCAGCCAGGAGAAGAACGACCTGACCATCCAGTTGCAGGCTGTGAGTTGCCAAAAATGTGTTGTGCCTGGTCATTGCAATGCTCATGTATTGGAGCTCTGAGGACATAGGAAAATTGTGAGTGTGTCAGATCTCCAAGGAGTTGGCTACAATGCTCCAGTCTGACCATGATCTTGGGGATATTGTTGGGCAGCCATTTTCAGGTGAACATCTGTCTCTGATGCATGAAAGTAAGGTCATGGTGTCATCTTGGATGGGAGTCCCTTTGCAAGTTGATAAATGGATGACAGCTGTGGTTGTGTTGCAGTTACCACCAATGGTGGTGGAGAACATCTAGGAGAAACCAGGAGAACGCCTGGTTTAGACAGAGAAGGGACAGTAATATAGGAAAATCCACTATGTCCCTCCAAGTCCATGACTTACAAGCTACAGTCTCTTCTCAATAACTCCATCTCATAGAGGACATCTTGCTATGTCTTCTAGCACAGGCATGGGCCAACTTCAGCCCTCACTCCAGGTGTTTTGGACTTCAAATACCACATCTTGCTATGAGGACATCTTGCTATGTCTTCTAGCATAGGCATGGGCATGGGCCAACATGCTATGTCTTCTAGCATGGGCATGGGCCAACTTCGGCCCTCCCTCCAGGTATTTTGGACTTCAATTCCCACATCTTGCTTTGAGGACATGTTGCTATGTCTTCTAGCATAGGCATGGGCATGGGCCAACTTCAGCTCTCCCTCCAGGTGTTTTGCACTTCAACATCCACAACTTGCTATGAGGACATCTTGCAATTTCTTCTAGCATGGGCATGGGCCAACTTGCAATGTCTTCTAGCATAGGAAAAGGCATGGGCCAACTTCGGCCCACCTTCCAGGTGTTTTGGACTTCAACTCCCACAACTTGTAATGAGGACATCTTGCTATGTCTTCTAGCATAGGCATGGGCATAGGCCAACTTGCTATGTCTTCTAGCATGGGCATGGGCCAACTTTGGCCCTCCCTCTAGGTATTTTGGACTTCAACTCCCACATCTTGCTATGAAGACATCTTGCTCTGTCTTCTAGCATAGGCATGGGCATGGGCCAACTTGAGCTCTCCCTCCAGGTGTTTTGGACTTCAACCCCCACAACTTGCTATGAGGGCATCTTGCTATGTCTTCTAGCATAGGCATGGGCATGGGCCAACATCTTGCTATGTCTTCTAGCATGGGCAAGGGCCAACTTCAGCCTTCCCTCCAGGTATTTTGGACTTCAACCCTCACAACTTGCTATGAGGGCATCTTGCTATGTCTTCTAGCATAGGCATGGGCCAACATCTTGCTATGTCTTCTAGCATAGGCGTAGTCATGGGCCAACTTCAGCCCTCCCTCCAGGTGTTTTGGACTTCAACTTCCACAATTCCTAACAGCCTACCACCTGTTTTAGATGTTTTAGACTTCAACTCCCACAATTTCTAACAGCCTACCACCTGTTAGAAATTGTGGGAGTTGAAGCCTAAAACATCTGGAGGGAGGGCCAAAGTTGGCCCATGCCTATGCTAGAAGACATAGCATGTCTCCATGATCAATTTATGGTGGAAGCATTCCATAGAATTCCCTGGAGGGCCTAGAAACACTCCAAGAGAGGACATATTTTGTCATATAGGTAAAAGAGTGGTGTGGTTGCTCTCTGGGTACTTAATGACTTGGATGAAGGTTTAAGAAGGCATGCTTGTCAAGTTTGCAGATGACACCAAATTGGAAGGGAGAGTTAATACTCCAGGAGAGAGGATCAGGATCCAAAATGACCTCAACAGGTTAGAGAGCTGAATGGCCAAAACTAACAAAATGCATGTCAACAAGGACAAATGTAAGATACTCCACTAAGGCAGAAGAAATGATATTCAAAGATACAGAATGGGTGATGCCTGACTCAACAACAGTCCATGTGAGAAAGATCTTGGAGTCTTCATGGAGGACAAGTCAAATATGCTCAAAAAGCTAATGGGATTTTGGGCTGCATCAAAAGGAGAATGGTGTCTAGATCGAGGGAAGTCATGGTCCCTCTCTATTTTTGGTCAGTTCCTCTTTACCTGGAATACGGTTTCCAATTCTGGGCAAAGAAGTTCAAAAGATATATTGACTCTAAGCTGGAAGGTGTCCATAGGAAGAGGGAGACTCAAAGGATGAGAGGTCTGAAGACCATGAATCCCTCTGAGGAGCATCTTAAAGAACTGGGTCTATTCAGCTTACGGGAGAGAAGGTTGAGAAGAGACATGAGAGCCATGGGTAAATATGTGAAAGGATGCCATAAAGAAAAGGAAGCAGGCGCTTTCCTGTGCTGGAACTAGGACTCGGAGCCATGGGTTCAATTGACAGGAAAGGAGATTCCACCAGAACATTAGGAAGAACTTCTTGGCTGTAAGAAGAACTGTTCATCAGTGGAACTCTCTGCCTCGGAGACTTGTGGAAGCTCCTTCCTTGGAGGCTTTGAAACAGGCTGGATGGCCATCTGTCAGGGGTGCTTTGATTGTGCTTTTCTTGCATGGCGAGTCTAGATGGCCCATGTGGTGTCTTCCAACTCTATGATTCTGCTGACCCTTTCCCCTTCCATTTCCAGGAGCAAGAGAACTTGTCAGATGCTGAGGAGCGCTTGACCCAGATGATGAAGTCCAAGATGGACCTGGAGAGCCAGATCTCGGATATGAAGGAGCGCTTGGAGGAGGAGGAGGGCTCGGCGGCAACGCTGGGGGCCCAGAAGCGCAAGCTGGAAGGGGAGCTGAGCGACCTCAAGAGGGACCTCGAAGGCCTGGAGACCACCCTCGCCAAGACAGAGAAGGAGAAGCAGGTACGTCGCCTCGATCTGATCTTTAGGTTGGTCCTCTAGCTTGAGACAATGTTTGGTTGGCCAAACTAACCAATCGTATTCGGGGAGGAAACAATGAGGAATTCAATGTGTTGTCGAAGACTTTCGTGGCCAGAATCACTGGGTTGCTGTGAGTTTTCTGGGCTATCTGGCCATGTTCTAGAAGCATTCTCTCCTGATGTTTCGCCCACATCTATGGCAGGCATTCTCAGAGGTTGGGAGGTCTGTTGGAAAACTAGGCAAATGGGGTTTATATATCTGTGGAGTGTCCACAGAGTGGGAGAAAGAACTCATTTGTTTGAGGCAGGTGTGAATGTGACAATTGGACAGCTCGAGTAGCATTGACTAGCCTTGCAGCTTCAAAGCCTGGCTGCTTCCTGCCTGGGGGAATTTTTCACCCACATCTATGGCAGGCATCCTTAGGGGTTGTGAGGTCTGTTGGAAACTAGGCAAGTGGGGTTTATATATCTGTGGAATGTCCACAGAGTGGGAGAAAGTACTCATCTGTTTGAGGCAGGTGTGAATGCGGCTGTTGGGGTTCAGCCTGATCCTGATCTGTGTGAACCGGATTCTCTGATAGTTTTTCCAACTGAGCAAGCTCTCCCTGACAGTGTGGAATCTGTTGTTGATGCTGAGGTCAGCGGCGAGGAAAGTGAAACTGAACAGCTGGAGGAAAATGTTTTGGAAGCTAGCCGTGATATCTCTCCACCTGGGTTTTTTAATGAGGACCGAAGAGAACAGATAGTTAGAGACAGAAATGTTTCACAGTTTCTACAAAGGTCAAATCGTTTACAGGAGAGACAGGCCCAGGCTTCAAAGTCAAGGGGCGTTTCAAAGAATATCTTCTTTGGTTTAAGGGGCCTCTTGCCGGGTGTCTCTTTAGATCAAGCAACGTTTGGGACTGTGGCTGTGCCTTGGCAGAATTCCTGTGTTCCATGGCCGGTAATCCCAGAGGCTTCTAGTTTTCAAGTTCATGGTTAGCGAGAGGCTAACAGGTTCCTGGTTCTTGTATTGTGGCTTTTGGAATTTTGCTCAAGTTCAGAGATTCTACTGACTGCTGTGTTTTTCTGTGGCTTTTTGACTTTGCATTTACTTTTCTTTTGTAACCAATTTTTCATCAATAAACAAGGATTGTTTTTCCTACAGTCCAGTGTGGTGGATTTAATCTTATGGTCTCGTTTCTTGATCTGGGATGCAACAGCGGCAATTGGTCAACTTGATTTGCACTGAATGCCCTTGTAGCTTCAAAGCCTGTCTGCTTCCAGGTTGGGAAACACTGGTTATGGGTCACCCATTTTGCCCTTTGAGAGTCCCAAGGCAGGAGAATGGACTCCTTTGGTTGTCCTCCCGTTCATCCCACAGGGAATTAGGAGAAAATAGGCCTATTGATTGACTCTATGCGCTTCCCTTTCCTCCAGGCTTTGGACCACAGGGTCCGCACCCTGACCGGTGACCTCCAAGCCCGGGATGACACAGTCGCCAAACTCCAGAAGGAGAAGAGGGCGCTGGAAGAGTTGCACCAGGTGAGAAAGACCCAACAAGACTGGACTCTGTTTGGCCATGGAAACCCATTGAGTGGCCTTGGACATGGTAGAATTTGGTAAAGTACATATACATATGTGCGTGTGTGTATGTGTGTGAATTAGTTCCCACAAATACTCTCCATGGCCTGGCCCATGCCTGATATATAATATAATATAATATAATATAATATAATATAATATAATATAATATAATATAATATAATATAATATAATATATAATATATAATATAATATAATATATATAAATGTATATATAAATATTATATATATATATATATATATATATATATATATATATATATATATATATAAATGTACTGTTCTTTTGTGGGAGAAACATAACTCGGAAACCACTGGATAAATTGACACAAAATTTTAACAAAATACACCTAACAGTCCAACAAGTGTCCATCACCCCTAAACACACACACACACAAAATAACCAGCAGAACTGGCTTTAAAAAACCCCAAAATAAACTATATATACATACACACACATACACATACATATATATAAGCAAGCACACATAACTATACACATATACACACACATATATATACACCTGCACACATATACACATACCTACACACATATATACACACATATATGCATGTACACAAGCACACACATATACACAATATACATATACACATATAAATACAGAAATACACAAGTATATACATACGTATACACACATATATACACATATACACAAATATATACACACATATATATACATACATATATGCATATGCACAAGCACACTCATATACACAATATACATATACACATATAAACACAGAAATACACAAGTATATACACACGAATACACACATATATACACACAGGCACATATATACACACAAACACACATATATACACATATATACAAATATATACACACATATATGCATATACACAAGCACACTCATATACACAATATATATATACACATATAAACACAGAAATATACAAGTATATACACACGTATACACACATATATACACACATATATACACACATATATGCATATACATAAGAACACACATATACACAATATACATGTACACATATAAACACAAAAATACACAAGTATATACACACATATATACACACAGGCACATATATACACACAAACACACATATATACACATATGCAGAAATATATACACACATATATGCATATACAAAAGAACACACATATACACAATATACATGTACACATATAAACACAGATATACACAAGTACATGCACACGTATACACACATATATACACACAGGCACATATATACACACAAACACACATATATACACATATACACAAATATATACATACATATATACACACATATATGCATATACACAAGCACACACATATACACAATATACATATACACATATAAACACAGAAATACACAAGTATATACATACTTATACACACATATATACATACACATACATATATACACACAAACACACATATATACACATATACACAAATATATACACACATATATGCACTCATATATGCACATACACAAGAACAGACATACACACAATATACATGTACACATATAAACACAGAAATACACAAGTATATACACACATATACACAGGTGCGCATATATACACACAAACACACATATATACACATATATAGAAATATATACACTCACATAAACACATATATACACACACAAAACACATATACACAGATTGGGCTACAGCAACGTGTGGCAGGGGACGGCTAGTATGATATAATAACATTTTTTGGGGCTGCACGAGAAATATTTGCTTCCAAAAGGGCTCCGCACCTGAAAACGTTGGAGAACCCCTGCTCTAGAGGAATGTTCTAGGTCCTCCAGGTGATTCTATGGTGTGCTTCCACCAGGATGCACCATTGAATCGTGTCGGAGGACAGAACAAATTTTGCACATTCCAAAACTGAGGGGATTAATCTTAAATTCCAGTTTATCAAACTATATATTTGGGAAAGGAAGTTCCCCAGTTTATGTTTTTGATCTGGGGGGAAGCACAAGTTGTTCTTCCAGTTTATCTAGTGTACTTCCCTTTTTCTCTCAAGGTTCTGAGGAACTCTATCATTGGGTATGTTTTCCAACTCTTTTGTTTCCATGACACATTTCTCTCGTTGTATATAGAAAACACTGGATGACCTTCAAGCAGAAGAAGACAAAGTGAATCACCTCACCAAAACCAACAGTAAACTGAGTACCCAGATTCACGAGGTCAGTACTGATTGGTCGTTGAATGGGTTCCATGTAGGGTTCCATGTAGGGTGAAAGGTGGGATATACATTACATTCATATACTCTTTGACTTGTTGAATATTCCATTGATGGGTTGTCCAGTATCAAGAGTGGGGTGCAAAGCTTGCTCTACCATAATAAATACCACATTTCCATTCTGGTTGTCGTAGTTCAAGAAGGATTAGTCTAGATGACCCAACTAGAGTCCCATCATCTTGGAGATAGGTTAGAACTTCCATTGCTAAGATTATGTGACTCTGGTTGGGATTAACCAGGACGGCCAAGCTATTGTCTTATTGACTTCCTGGGCTAGATGACCCAACTAGAGTCACATCATCTTGGAGATAGGTTAGAACTTCCATTGCCAAGATTATGTGACTCTGGTTGGGATTAACTGGGACAACCAAGCTATTGTTTTATTGACTTCCTGGGCTAGATGGCCCAACTAGAGTCACATCATCTTGGAGATGGGTTAGAACTTCCATTGCCAAGATTATGTGACTCTGGTTGGGATTACCGGGACAACCAGAGTCACAAGCTATTGTTTTATTGATTTCCTGGGCTAGATGGCCCAACTAGAGTCACATCATCTTGGAATGGAAGTTCTAACCCAAGATTATGTGACTCTGGTTGGGATTACCGGGACAGCCAAGCTATTGTTTTATTGTCTTCCTGGGCTAGATGACCCGACTAGCGTCACATCATCTTGGAGATGGGTTAGAACTTCCCTTGCCAAGATTATGTGACTGGTTGGGATTAACCAGGACAGCCAAGCTATTGTTTTATTGTCTTCCTGGGCTAGATGACGCAACTAGAGTCACATCATCTTGGAGATGGGTTAGAACTTCCCTTGCCAAGATTATGTGATTCTGGTTGGGATTAAATAGGAAAGCCAAGCTATTGTTTTATTGACTTCCTGGGCTAGATGACCCAACCAGAGTCACATCTAGGATAGCCAAGCTATTGTTTTATTGTCTTCCTGGGCTAGATGACCCAACTAGAGTCACATCATCTTGGAGTTGGGTTAGAACTTCCATTCRCAAGATTATGTGACTCTGGTTGGGATTAACCGGGACAGCCAAACTATTCTTTTATTGACTTCCTGGGCTAGATGACCCAACTAGWGTCACATCATCTTGGAGATGGGTTCGAACTTCCATTGCCAAGATTATGTGACTCTGGTTMGAATTAACCAGGACAGCCAAGCTATTGTTTRATTGACTTRCTGGGCTAGATGACCCYACTAGAGTCACATCATCTTGGAGATGGGTTAGAACTTCCGTTGCCAAGATTATGTGATTCTGGTTGGGATTAAATAGGAAAGCCAAGCTATTGTTTTATTGACTTCTTGGGCTAGATGACCCAACTAGAGTCACATCTAGGATAGCCAAGCTATTGTTTTATT